AAAAAAAAAAGCCAGTATAGCTTGAGAGAGATATCTCTCGATCTATACGAGCTGTCAGAATGCCGGCAAAAGCCGGCATCTGTGTCCGCTTTGCTTTGACTCTCAGACACCCGATATTAAGGTATCGGGTGTCTGAAAAAGGTTAACCCTTTAATTAATGAATGCCTCGGTAGTAAGGGCATCCATTAATGAATGTTAAAAGCTGATTCTCAGCGATTAACAGCCCTCTAAAGCAGCAAATAACTCGTCACGTACAGTGTACGTGACAAGTCATTTGGTCCCTTTGTGGCTGGACGTACAGTGTACGTCTCCCGTCACGAAGGGGTTAAATAGCTTAAACACATTTTGACTTTAATATCACTTTATTTTCTAGGGATGGCTAGTGGCTTATCCACTGCCTCTCTCTTAAAAGGTTAGTCAACGTTCAGGTTGCAAAGGAGCCCTGGGAACATTTAACCTTCTGGAAAATAACACATGATCTATAGTAGTTGACTATGAAGGTGAGCATCTTGGGCCAGAGAAATATTATTCATCACTCCGGCCCTGGTCTATGTGATTCCTGAGTGTTCAGCTAGGAGAATTTCTGTCTCACTGCCTCCACTGGCCAGATCCTCCCTGTACAGCTTTCCATTGTTGCAATCAACCTTTTGGTTGTCTCTCTCTCAGTAAGAGGGCTAGAAGCTAGGCTTCTGAACTTCTTCAAACTTAGGTCAGACTGACCTACAGGCAGACTGCAGTACTTGCTCAGTAGTGGCACTACAAGTCCAAAAAACAATTGTACTGAAGTGAAAGAGGACAGCAGCTGAGTCCACTGGGTCAGAGCAAGGAAAGGGGTTATGGGTACCATCGCCCTGCTTTGCAACCAGAAACTGCCCCTCAGCAGCTTTTGCAGGACTAAGAGTAGCCACTAACACCAGCAATAAATTGTCTTCAGATTCAACAATTACATTTTCAACATCAGACATACTTTACAGTGGTCCCCTCTCTTTTCCTTGGAGAATCGTGCATTTCCAGACCACTTTCCTCCTCCCTCTGTCCCCAAGTTGCCCAGCTGTCACACCTACATCTGTATACGGTACATTGGTATGCCCAGAGGGTACGGTTGGTGAATATTGGGTATCATCAACAGGCATATAGTGTAAGGCCCCAGATCTGCACCCAGCAGCGGTGTGTGTGGAAATCTAATCCGAGACTCCGAACTCTCGCTTCCCACTCCTCACCCCCAAATCAATGAAAATCTAAGCATGGGTACAAGTGAGGAGGTCCCCCACCCCTCACTCCACCCAACTCAGGTGAGTCTAAAGAACTTCTCCAGGATGATGTCCTTATTTCCCACCAATTACTTTGCCCTTCACAGCTTGAGATGAGGAATATGTATTCTGAGGTTGGTAGACGGAGCGTTCTGATGATATCAATGTCACAAATGCTATAAGGGTGGCTGACTGTGGCACTTTGCCTGACAAAGGGACCCTCCACCTCTCTGAAACATTGCCTTTTATGTTATGCTCAAGGAATACCAATTAAAATCAAATTCTGATGCTGAATAGTGTGCAGACATCATATCCTCTAAACTGTATACTGTGGCGCCAGTTGTTTCAGCACCAGTTAAATGGTAACGTGGTATATCCCATTACCATTGAACTGGTGCTGAAACAGTACAGAGTGCAAAGGAGATATCATTATTAGTACAGTGTGCGAAGGAGATATCATTAAGGTGGGTGGCAGTGAGGCGCCCAGTTGGAGTTGCTGTCATAGCTGTTACTATGCCCTGCCCTTCACAGTCTAAAATAAGGATACTGACTGCGGAAGATATAGGAACGCCATGTGTCAACAGGTGTTCTGTATCTCCAAGTAGTAAAATGACTGCAGTGGCATGGGTCTACTTTTGTGCTTGACGTGTTCACATTGTAAGAGGAAGAGAGGGGAACTGGCAGGATCACTAGGTACTTCATAGGAATTTACAAGATAATGTATTGATCCAATGCATATGTTTATGATCAATTTTAAGGTTAATATACACTTTAAATCTTTCATCTCCTTGTTTCATCTCTTTCATCTCCATGTTTTTGTTCATTTTGTTAGTTTTAAAATTATCACTGTTCACACTGGAAAAAAAATTCAAATTCTGTAACCTGCACCAGGCCAGCCACTGTATGTTTGGATGTGCAAGCTTCATCTTAGCTCTAAAAGGGGAGGTAGACGCACATTGGCAAACTCGCCTTGGGTGTCAAAGGACCCCATTCCAGCACTCTGTGTTGTAACTCTGTCTCATGGTACTACAAGTATCCAATTCAACCTGCATACATCAAGAACACTACACTGAGAAATGCCATACAGCATGTAGACAGGAAGTAACTGAAAAAGACTTCTGGAGACTATCAGCATTGAGATGCAACAGAGGATGAGAAAGTTTAATATAACCCAGGAATGAATGTGGCCTGCAGCAAAAAGAGGACCTGGTGAACACGCTTGCATTGCCAACGATGAGTGGCAGGGGTGATGGCAAGTATTTTACCAGGCAGGCTGCACTGAGGAGGGCTACTTAAAGGACAATTGTGCTATAGATTATGTAATCCTGGATAAAGAATAAAAGGGAGCAAAAATGTAGTAAATATGTAGACAGAAAGGGAAGCAGAGAGCCATAGGGAAATGGAAGAGAGAAAGGTTAGGTGAAGGAAAAGAGAAAAGATGGAAGGCTAAAGAATGAGAACAGATGGAGTGATAGCGAAATGGAAGGATGGAGAGAGATATGTCTGATTTGAGGTTTTTACATTTGTCTAGATTGAGGGGTCTATTCACTAAGCTGCCAAAGGATCTAGCCGTAGCCTTCGGCTAGCTTCGGCCCCAGGACCTATTCGGTTCAATAGAACCGAAGGGTTGCTGTACGGGCTATTCACTATAGCCCGTACAGCTCCCGAAGTCGGCTGAGCAGCACAGTTGAGCCGGAGGCATGTGCTTCGGCTAGACTGAGCCGAGGTGAAAGCCGAAGCTGGCCAAATGGCCGGCCATTGGCCGGCCGATAGCCTGCTACTGACTGCTGGGTGGAGCCAGCCATCATCTCACGGCTGGCTCCAGCCACTTGCACAGACAGATCAGCGTCTCTGGTTACCAGGTAACCAGGGACACTGATCTCCAGACAGCCCAACTCTCCCGGACGCTCTGGGAGTCCCCCACTATTAGATAGCGGCTCCTGGCCGCCCGCGAGAAAAACACTTTCTCCCAGAAAGGTTTACTCTGCTCGGTCGAGCAGAGTAAACCTTTCCCTGCTCTGTTCTTTTTTTTTTTTTACTGACATCGGAGCCGTTGGCTGCCGTCAGAATAATAAAAACAAAAAAATCAGCATAGGAATACATAGCTAGATTCCTATTGGCTATTTCAATTTGCAATAGCAAATAGCAAACTAGCTATTGCACCCGCCCACTGCTGCTGTCAATCAGCAGAGGGGACCTGAATTCTCCATCAGGTCCCCTCTAGTGATTGACAGCAGCAAGGGGCAGGTGAAATAGCTAGCTTGCTATTGGCAATTGCAAAGTGAAATAGCCAATAGGAATCTAGCTGTGCATTCCTATGGCAATTTTTTTTTTTTTTCATTCTGACGGCCGCAGAACCGCCCGTCCAATAGAAAACAGTTGGCCAGAGCTAGCTGTCACTGCTAGCTCCGCCCAATTGTTTTCTATTTAATTTTTTACTACTTTTTAACTGTTTTTCTATTCTGCTCGGTACCACAGAGGTACCGAGCAAAATAGCCGGGCCGAATGCCGCTCGGCGGCATTCGCCTATTCACTCACTGCTGTTCGGCATCTATGAGAATAGGCCGAACAGCAGCGAGTAGCCTGCCGGAGGTTCGGCTTAGCCGATCCAGATGCTGGATCGGCTGAGTCGAACTCCATGTTCGGCCGACCGAAGCCACACGAAGCAAGCTGATGTACGGCTGGTTTCAGCCCATATATGGCTGAAATCAGTCGTACAAGCCTGAAGTGACTAGCCGAACAGTGTTCAGCTCACTTCACTTCGGGTCGGTTATTCACTCGGCTGCCTGCGACAGCTTAGTGAATAGACCCCTTAGTCTTTAATATCCCTTGGCCTTGTTCACTCATAATTCAGGCTTATCTATTTAGATGTTTGAAGTAGCAAGAGCAATGATGATGCGCAAAGTGCAGCAAATGGCTGCATTTTTGTTTGCCGTTTTCAGGACAGTGAGATATGATCACTGGCTATGAGTTACTGAGTTACTGTACATTTATTGCCATATATCAAGCCTAAATGTTAACCCACCTACTCTTGCCGTTGCATGTGTTACCACTGTGTTGTTCAGCCAGTTCCCACTTTTTTCCATCTCTCTCTCTGTCTATCCAACTGTCCTCTCACAGAGCTCATGCTCTCATTGAAATCTTTAATCCCTAGCAGCAGGTTTAACCCCCCCATAACTCGGCAGAGAGCTAGAAATACACAGCCTAAAACATCCACATACATATATCATACTCAGAAGCATCTCTGCAAGGACGCATCAACAGGCATAGCAGTACTCCTTAGAGGCAACTCTTCCTACTATATAGATGCATTCATGGCTTGAAACTCAGTCACAACACCTAAAGCAGGCAATGCAACCAACCAGCTTACAAATGAGCGATGGGAAATTGCACTAAATCTCAGCAAAAGAAGACTAATAAGGTATGATAGGGATATGCATAGGGGGGTGGGTGTAAACCGGTGTTTGGATCTATTGCATTAATATCAATTTGAACACAACAGTGATATGCAATAACCCATAGCAAACATATAACTCCGAGGCTTTCAAAATGAAAAAAAGGATATTAGCAATTAAATATCCCATAGCCATGTTCCATAATATAAGTAGAATTTCAAGTTCCAACTCCGACAGGATCTTTGGAAGCAGATGCCAGTTTTCTGCAAGCTTAGAGCAGCTGGGTTATGAGAGCTGATTTCTGATTGGTTTCTAGTAGTAATTGTTCACTACTGCTTTGTGGTGCTCACAGAAACTACTTTCCTGAAGCCATTTATTTTTGTGAGAACATTCATCTCTATTTGCCATGGGTTACTAAATGTCACCATTCTTTGCACCAGCAGTCTCATGTATCAAAGGGTCTGAAAGAAGAATTTCTGTGTTGCCCCCAAATAGGCCTTTAATACAGAGTATTAAAGGCAACACAGACAGATTGTTTAGGTCTTATCATATATGAAATGGGACTTTTCCCAAATATCAGTGATGTTTAGTAACCCGCTGCAAATTAGAAATGAGTGGTCTGAATTTCACAGATCATGATCAAGTCCATATCCCTTGTGCTTGCCGACACTTGGATCTGCAGGGTGGTTCCAATGGTGAAGCAGCACAGGTTATTCAGGCCACATTGACAACAAAGTCTGTGTTTAGCTCAACTAAAGCTCTAAAATGTACTAGAGAATATTGTCATGTAATGTTCTGTACTGATGTAATTAAGCCATTTGTAGAGTTTGAGGAGTTGCCTGCAGTTGTAAAAGTGCACTAAGCAGAGGAATCACCAGGTAATACTCTGCCATCTGATCCATGTGAGGTCAATTTGAGACCCAGATCCAGATTGCATAGTAGTGGCCTTTCTTCCACAGTGCTACTCCTGTAATGTAAGAGGCACTTAAAGCCTTAAATCAGTTTTCTAAATTTAGAAAAACAAAAACATGAATTTTTAAAAGCTTAATCTCCTTAAGTGACCAAAACTAAGAAATCTCTCATTAGCTTTCCCCCATTTAGACCAACCCTAGGGATTAATAAATATGGGCATCATTTCTCAGCTTCTTGAAAACTTTGAGAAAGCTCAAAGAATGCTTGTCATACTTATGATGAAATAGTTACTAGAGTGCCAGCATCAGTTTGTGTCATGTTCCAGTACTTTGCTTTGCTAAGCCCACCCAGGTTTTACTTTGCTTTGCCAGGGCCAGAAAAGCCTAAAAATGCTTTAAAAGCTTTTTAAAGCTATATAAGCTTAACAGGCAATTTTCTTTAACACCTGTATGTATGAGCCTTCATATTTGGAGCAGATCTCATCCATCCCTCTGCTATTAACAGAGTAGAAGATCAAACCACCCCATGTGCCCTACTCATAGAGGCCGAAAATGTTTGACCAGCGTGTAGCTGGGAGAACACTGTTCACAGAGCATTACTCCCATTTGATAGAGACAGGGAGCATGTGAATTAGCTATGCTTCTTGGCTCCATCTAGTGGAAGTAATGCTGTACGAACGCTTTATACTAACCCCCATGGTGTTAGTTGAGGATCACAGCTGGATCCTGCAGTCTATTTAACGAAGAATGGCTAACTCACTGATTGTAATTCTTGAAGAGATGTACAGTACGCCATCTAAGGAAAGCCTAAACCTGGCCATGCACATGGCATATTTCAGGCAATTTAATGAAGATATTGCTTTTGTAAGATACAATGGACACGATTAACAAGTATAATGTTACAAATATTAACTTCTAACAATGAGTTGAAGTAGGGATAGCAGGTAAAATGTTTTGTTGAGAAGTTATTCTGATGTCAGCATGATGATAATTGTCTACATATGCTCTAAATAAAGAAAATGGTTTGCTAGGGATTACTTCACATTATTGCTTTGTTTGTAATAGGAGGGTGGGGTAAGGGACTGACATCATAAAATGAAATATGATTAAAGCAACCCATCTCAGCCACATTACTAGAAATTACAATTCTCAGCATCAACCTTATGCTGGGGTTTGCATTTATAAGTACGGGGAGATATCACATTGTTCTCACCCTGGTTTGCTGGAGCTGATTTTAAACCCCAAAGGAAAACAATGTTGATGGCTGCCCATAAAAAACATTTTGGTGCTCACTTTCGTTTTCAAATAACTAATGCCCAACCTACATAAGATGGGACTCCAGAGGGAAGAGTTATTACAAAGGCAACTAAAAGGTTTTCTACTTTAATTTTCTAACCAGTACTCCGATATGAAAAAAAGAAATGATTGACTGCCATGGGCAAAGCCCACTGGGGTTGATTCATTAAGACAAACAGGCTGTTCACTTTGCCCTAGGGAATTTTCTTCTTTGCAAAGAATACCCAATCATGTGCAAGTAAAATGAAAAAAAAAACAGTATAGTACACAGTATAGTACATGATTGGATGAAGGAAGTCAGCAGAGCTTCACCTCATTCACTAAGCTGAGTGAAAATTCCCTTGCAAAGTGAGCAGCCCATTTGCCTTAAAGTAGTATTAAATTCTCAACCTTTATTTTAATAATGAATTCAGATCAATCAAATATATTAGGGATGTACTGATATATCAGCTGCCGAAACATATAGTCCGAAAATTGCACTTTTGGCATAATGCCGAAGGTGCCATTTTCTGGCCGTTACAGCGGTGCATCCTTTCGTTCTCTGCCTACGCTGGGCGCTGCTCTGTGTCCCAGCGGGGAGGAGAGAAACTGTCACAGGCGGCTGAGCGATGCGGGAGGAGAACGATGTGAGCGGCCGACGTCCCTCCTCCCACACCGCTCAGCCTCCTGTCACAGATCAACAGAGCAGTGTGGGCGGAGACAGCTAGCGCTGTCACAGGAGGCTAAGCTCTCCTCCCTGCTCCGCTCGCTCAGCTTCCTGTGACAGCGTGTCAGGAAGGAGATGAGTACAAACACTCAGCGATCAGTGATTGCTGAGTGTTTGTAAATAATGGAGGACATGGCATGTTGACTATATCTTCAATTATGAATGGGAAGTGAGCTACATCACCTCCTGTTCATTCATGATTGTGGTTATAGTAATCATACTCTGTCCTCATGTTATGAATGAACAGAATGAAAAAGTTAAAATAAAAATATTTTCGGTTTCGGACTGACATTTTTTTACATTTCAGTTTTGAAATTTTCATTTCGGTGCACCTCAAAAATATATATTGCCTAGAAAAGTATTTTTTCAAATTTCTGCCCAAGCACTTACAGTCATCATGTTTCCAAACAGCTGGCTCCAACTCTCAGCTCTGTCTCCCTGAACTTCCCGTTCAGTACAACATCACAAGGGACAGAGCAATCTCCAACAGCTGTATGGCTACTAGCTTGGAGAAGGTAGAAGGAGGAAAGAGGATCAGGGAGCATGGGAATAGGTTGACTTGCTGTGCCTGTGTATTTGTAAAGACACACACAGCTTACTAGCACACACAAGCGTGGCTAGATAGGACCCTGCATTTGAAAAGAACCACCCAAAAACAGAATATCAGGACCAGTACACAGGGACCAGCTGATTCTGCAGGAAGCTAAAACTTTAAACATCAAGGAGCAGAATTCATTGTAAGTGATTTTAATCTGCATTTGAAATAGTTAAAAAACATTTTGACTTTAATATCACTTTAAGTAAATCAACCCCATTTTCTTTGTTGTCCCCGTCTTCAAAACTCTGCCCTTTGTATAAATGCATTGAGCTTCTAAGAGCTCAGTGGGTTTATTTAATAAAGCAAATAGGGGAGGAAAGTCTCTCAAAGATAAAGTGGCAAGTTTAGAAATAGGATTACCTGAACCTGCTAGATGACCAGATGTTAGGAGGATCACAATAGTATAGCCCAGAAAAAAATACAAAAAACCAGAAGAGCTGGTGACAGTAAAATGAAAATGGAGAAATGTTATACGGATAGTAAAATGCCTGTGGATACTTACGCTGATTTATGAAAGCTCGAGGCTATCCTGGACCATGAAAATATTCCTGGGGCAACATAGGTTAAAAACGGCTCCCATTTTTTAACTTTTGAAGCTGAAAACTACAAATCTGAAATAAAAAATTGGAAATGCAACTGAAGTCTGACATTTTAAAAGTACTAGTGGTATCTTCATTGATGATAAACTGCCATCTGGAGTTTACATGGATAATACAGCTCCAAGTGCCTGTATACAGCTTTAGTTTTCTTGCGAAGCTCTGATACCTGGCACAAGCTATTATACACATTTTAAGCAGAGTTTAAGGGCTGGAATAGATCAACACAACTACAAACAGTTTCTACTGAACCGGTGCAGCAGTGAAAACCAATAGTGGTAGGTAGGGATGAGCCGAACATAATTGGGTTCAGTTTGCGGGAAGTTTGCAAAATTGCACCAAAGTTCTCAACATTAATCTGAACCCCTGAAATCAATATTTTTAAGCCTAATAGGCAAGAGGTTGTCAGACAGAGGGCATGGGGAGCTGGACACTACCCTGGGGGACATGTTTTTTATGAATTTGTTTCAGTTCAGCGGGGAGAAGCTTTTAAAATAATGCTTACAGTGAAATGCTCATTTCCTTCAAATAGCATGCTTGGGGGATGGCCTAAACCTGCCTGTTTAGTGGTGCATTTGTACGATGTATACAAAGTACTACAGCAAAACTAGTAGTTAGAGCCCATTAACACCAGGGCAGTTGCGGATCAGCGCAGCAAAAATAGTGCAGGGAGCAGTTCGGGCGGGGGGCGGTTGGGATCGTGCTGAGCCACATCCATGCGGCCAAACCGGTGTGAACGGGGCCTTAAAAAGAAAAACATTTTTAAGAAGTCTGGGGACATTTTTATTAACCCTTGCAGTGGGGCTATCCCCCGCACTGCAAAGGTTAACTGCTATTATCTTTCTAGGTGCTAACAAAAAAGTTATATTCACCCGAACTGCTGAGCCGACTCCCTGCTTCTCCGGTCACTGAAGCGTGT